GATTCCACAGTAGAGAAAGGAGATGAGGAAACTGAATTATCACACAGCCTCTGGTAGGACTGGCTATTCCATGGCACTCAGAATCATAATCTTGTCACAAGGGAATGTGTCATCAGACCCCAACTGCCACTTGTAACAATTGACAAAGTAATGATGCAAATCGGCAGATGTAACAACCTGTCACCATTTATTAGCAGTGACTGTAGTACTAAATATCCAATGAGTAATTCTTCTATTTGATATTTCAGAACGAATTAGCTTCGTGTCCATATTAATGTTGACTTTTATAAAACTGCATGCTAAAAAAGTATTTCATTGAAGAAGAAAACTTCTAAAAAAAAAAAGAAAGAAAGAAAACTAAGAATCAAGAGACACTGTGTTAAGTCAGTGCTTATTGACTGCTTACTAGCCTGCCTAGTAGAGTAGGTGGTGTGACTGTCCACCACTTTAATGAAAGTTTCATTAAAAAAATTCATTACTGGTGCTATTGTGTGGACTGTATTTAAGCTAACATCGTTTTCTGCATTTGTAGTATCAGAGTCAGAATAAGAAATCTACGATATGCAGAACCAGATCTTAGCTACATCTTTCTACAATTATACCCTAAATCAGTTGTGTCATTTCATCACAGGATAACATCTGAAGCATGGCTGGTGAGGAATTTAGGCTCTCCATTCCCCAAAAAGCACCTTTTTCTGCAGTTTTTAGAGGGAGTAGTTAAGTTGTGAGAGTTCCTAAAAAGAAAAGAAAGCAAGGCATGAGATTCTACAGAAAATAGTAAATAGTAGTGCCTTTTTACATGAAATATCCCCACCACCCCATTCTATCACCATTGATAAGGACCCTTCTCCCTTCAGCTAAGCCCCAGGCTGACCCACTGTGGTGTTCTCATTTAATTACTCTTGCTAATTTCAGTTTGCTTCTCGTCTCCTATTTCATTTTATATCTGTTTTAGCATTCTTATTGTATAAACAACCTAGAGTTTATATTTGGTTCTCTGGTGTGTGCATGTGTGCTAGGTGGCTTCAGTCGTGTCTGACTCTTTGCGACACCATGGACTGTAACCTGCCAGGTTCCTCTGTCCATGGGATTCTCCAAGCAAGAACACAGGAGTGGGTTGTTATGCCCTCCTCCAGGGGATCTTCCCAACCCAGGGATCAAACCCACGTCTCCTGCGGCTCCTGCACTGCAGGTGGATTCTTTACCTCTGAGCCACCAGGGAAAAGCTACTGGCTTTATGGTAACACATTAGAATTAGACAAAAATAATTCAATTTCATTAAGAGTTATTTTCTAAAAAAAAGTTATTTTCTTTTACAAGATTCTAACCCTTAAAATGATGTATTAACCCTTGCAATGTACTGGAAACATATAGAGATTATGGGAAATGTAATCCCATCAGGAAACAAAGCAGAATAGAAAGATCAGCTCCAAGCTAGTCTCAGTATCTTGGGTAAGACAGACTCATGAGCTCTGAGGCTTCTTCATGACCACACTCAAGAGACAGTCCTACTGTTTTAGGGTCCTGATATCTTTGTACAGATGGTATGAGGGATGGACCATTGCAGCTGGAAAGGAGAGCCACACACCACCCACCTCCTTTGCTTCTGAGCCCACATTCTATGCCTTGGTTTCCATAGAGTCATTGCTTCTTCTGTTTATAAAATAAGATGAGAAAGGGGTCAAGCCCACCTCTAAGCACTGGTGAAAATGACACAGAGATGATACAGACAAAGACACTGAGTGCTAGAAATGATAAGACCAAGTTGCCACCTCTAGGTTGAGTTCAAACCTTGAAATCTAATTGGAAGGCAGTATTGTACACGTTCCCCAGCTCGGAAATGAGAAAGATGGGCTGGTTTTTCTCAGAAGAGGCAATGAACCATCCAGGAAAGGCCACGGACTCAAATGTGGAGGTCATGCCTATTATTTTACGGTAGAAAAGGAATGGCTTCACAGGCTCGGCTTGGTTGTACAGATCCATTATCTTCTGGTTCTGAAACGGGACAGAAAATACCAGGAGAAGCAGAGGCTGTTTGAGTAGTTCAAGGTTGCTGTTGTTTAGTCACTAAGTCATGTCTGACTCTTTTGAGACCCCACAGACTGTAGACTACCAGGCTCCTCTGTCCATGGGGTTCTCCAGGCAAGACTACTGGAGAGGGTTGCCATTTCCTTGTCCAGGGGATCGTCCCAACCCAGGGCTTGAACCCTCCTCTCTTGTATTGACAGGCAGATTCTTTACCACTGAGCCACCTAGGAAGCCCTGCAGTTTAAGATTCCTTGCACACAACCTATAAATGATCCAACGTTTGAGCAACCCTATCCATCTATTAGAGCAAACCTAGGAAAATACATTTCAAAGGAACAGCAAAGTGGGCACATAGAAAATCTCACCTTCCCAGCCTTCACCCTCAAATCCAGAGGTGGCATGGAAGTGACACAAGGCACAGGTTCATGAACAAGTGGCCATACTTGAATTACAAATTGGAACTCTCCTCACATTAGAGGCTGAGAAGACACACCCCTCTCCCCCGAGGCAAAGGAAGGAGATGCAAATTTGCAGCAGGAAGCCAAGGTCCTCTCTCACCCAAGCTGTATCCATGAGAGACTCCCTCCTGTAAGAACCACTGCTCTGGTGAAGGACTACCAGGGTGGGGGTGCATAGGTTTCTGATTAATTGTCAAACATATGAAAAAGCTCAAAGCCATGAAAAAGGCAGAAGAGGGTCTAAAAAATCAAAGGACTTGCACTCAAAGGAACAAAGGAATATAGAATAATCAGAAAAAATCTTCCATATTGTATACAGAAAGATATTTGTAGATGTATATATTTATATATTTACATATTAGATAAGTATTTCTAAGTAAATTACATTATATCCAAGATCTCCAAAGAGATAATAGAATGGCCCATAATCCAGCCACATCCTACCCTGAGTAGAGGGACTTCTTCCAAAAGATTCCTTTATTCAGTTAATAACTTCCAGTTAATCTATCCCACTCTGTGGACAGCCAAAAACCAAGAAGCCAACCTTGATGCTGCTTTCTTTGACCTCTCAGCATCTGACCCAGCAGCAAGACCTGTAAACCCTAGTTACAAAGTCTTTGTTGAATTGAGCTGCTTCTCACATCCTCCCCCACACCTGTTTCATCCCCACCACTCATTCTCCACAAAGAGTTGAATGAACTGGAAACTGAAATAACTGAATAAATAAGATCATGTTACCATTCAGCTTAAAAGTCTTGAATGATGTTCTCATAATTATCATACAATTTAAAGGCTTTAACAAAACCTGCAGGGTCTAAACCATCTAGCTCTTACCTACAGAGCTGAAAGCCTACTGTTTCGTCCTTATCTACTTCATCACACACCATATTCACTCTGTCAGCAAATTCCATTGCCTCAATTTAAAGTATTTCACGACTCTGTCCATCATCCCTCTTCTTCCAATAGACCCTCAGATTACATCTGGGTCACCCCGAAGCCTCCAAGGGGCATTTTCTCCTTGTCCTTCTCACCCTGCTCTCATGTAGCAGCCAAAATAATCCTTTTAAAACCTGTGTCCTTTCATGTCACTCTTCTATTCAAAACATTCCAATAATTTGGATTGAATTAATTTTTTTAAATTTTTATATATTTTTAATTGGCGTACAGTTGCTTTGCAGTGTTGTGCTAGTCTCTGCAGTACAACAAAGTGAATCAGCCCTGTGCATACATGTATCTCCTTCCTCTTGGACCTCTCCCACCCCCACCCCCAGTTCCACCCCTCTAGGTCATCAGAGAGCACCGGACTGAGCTCCCTGTGCTCTATAACAGGCTCCTACCAGCCATCTATTTTACACACAGTAGTAGATAAATACAACGGAATATTACACAGCCATAAAAGGGAACGAAATTGGGTCTTTGTGGTGATGTGGATGAACCTAGAGTCTAGCATACATGTTGAATGAATTAATTGATTGACAGGTTAAAGTCCTTACAAAAGTGGGAAAGCTCTTTTACTATCTGCCTTTCTCTGAACTCTGCCTCCTCCCCAGCTCACTCCTGGTCCTTGAACTTGCCCTCACTGGACACTCTGTTGACTCACACTTTTGTTTCCTTTCCTGTCCAATAAAATCTCACCTTTGCAATAATACCTGCTGTACCATTTACCATGAAGCCAGGTTCTAGCTCTTTCTGGCACCACCAGTCTCTTTACCAGCCCTAATCATTCTTTCCCAGACAACATAACCCTCTTTAACATGTTACAGGCTTACCCATGATTATGCTTCTTGTGGATCATTTCTTGTCTTCCACTAGAATGTAAACCCTAGGAAGGCAGGACTCTTTGCCATTGTGTGCACTGATGATATTCAAATGCCTATAACAGTGCTGGAGGCCAGTAAGAATGCACACATTTGCTGACTTGGATTGGATGGTGTTGAATTAAATTGAATTGTTGTAAACTGAAGTTTCAGAAACAAGCTGTTTTATAACAGGCAGTTAGAAATAAGAAAAACATGGGCTTCCCTGGTGGCTCATGGTAAAGAATCCTCCTGCCAATGCAGGAGACACAGTCTCGATCCCTAGTTCTGGGAAGATCCCACATGCCAAGGAACAACTAAGCCATGCCACAACTACCAAGCCTGTGCCCTAGAGCCCAGAAGCCACAACTACTGAGCCCACATGCCTAGAGAGCCCGTGCTCTGCAACAAGAGAAGCCACTGCAATCAGAAGCCCGTCCACCACAACTAGAGAGTAGCCCCCACTCACGGCAACTAGAGAAAGCCCACACAGCAAAAAAAGACCCAGCACAGCCAAAACCAAACAAATAAAAATTAGTTTAAAAACAAACAAACAAAAAAGCTTATTGCATGCACATGACTCTAAAGGAGCCAGGTATAAATATGCTTAAGAGCAGAAACTATTTCTTTTTTAATTATAAAATTAGACTTCCTGACAAATCAACTTCTGAGAAAAGAAGTTGGGTTTTTTCTAACATTATTTTTCTTTGTCACTTACCTTCAACTGCAATTTGGGCTTTCCACCAATGTCCTCACAATATAGACACATTTCTGGCTGCTTTATTCCCAAATAAATAGGAATCCCTTTGTCTTTCTCAAGAAACTCTGGATACTTGCATGGAATAATGGTGACAGTGACTGTCAGATAAGAGGGGTTATAGTGTCAGTGACCTTTTGCAATTACAAAAGACCAAGATCTTACAGGCAAGGCTGGAAGAGACCTTAAGAATATAATCCCACTACCCCAGACCCACAGAATGCCTCATACTCATTTGTTCATTCATTCACTCAGTCAAACCAAGCACCAGTCACTGCTCTAGGAAATGAAGCAAAGGCAGAGGAGGCAGACCCCACCCTTGGGATTTTTCCAACCTCTGCCTGAACACCTGGAGGCAAGATGTACCAGCCCCAAGAAACCCCTCTGATCCTTGGAAAGTTCTGTTCATTAGCGAGTTTTGCCTAACTGATGTTGAAATCTGCCTTCTGTGCAATCCACCCAATTAGTCCTCTTAGGACATAGGAAGTTGGGCAAACAAGCCACTCTTTTTCCTTAGCACAGGCCTTCAGACCACTGAAAGCAGCTCTCCTGCTCCCCAGAAAGCTACTCCCCTCCTTCTGCTCTCCTTGCCATGGTCCAAGATACCCCTTCCCGGGCAGATGTGAAATTCTTCCCCCTCCAGGTGTTGTTGTTCAGTTGCTAAGTTGTATCTGACTCTTTGCAGTCCCATGGGCTGCAGCACATCAGGCTCCTCTGTCTTCCACACTCTCCCAGAGTTTGCTCAAAATCATATCCATAGAATTGGTGAGGCCATCCAACCATCTCATTCTCTGCTGCCCCCTTCTCCTTCTGCCTTAGTCTTTCCCAGCAACAAGGTCTTTTCCAGTGACTTGGCTCTTCGCATCAGGTGGCCAAAGTATTGGAGCTTCAGCTTCAACAACAGTCCTTTGATGAATACTCAGTGTTGATTTCCTTTAGGGTTGACTTGGTTTGATTTTTTGTAGTTCAAGGGACTCTCAAGAGTCTTCTCCAGCACCACAGTTGAAAAGCATCATTTCTTCAGCGCTCAGTCTTCTTTCTGGTCCAACTCTCACATCCGTATATGACTACTGGAAAAACCATGGCTTTGACTATATGGACCTTTGTCAGCCAAATGATGTCTCTGATATAAATCCAAACTTTAATAAAAGGATAGTACTAGCATCCCAGCTGCACTGATATGAGGCTGCTCCAAGAAGCAGCCACACTATGACCTGTCACTTACCTGGCACCACACTGTTGCTCCAAGGAACTGCCACGAGGGTCTGACCCTGAAGGATCCACACCTGCTGATTCCAGTCGGAGACTACTGCAGGTCTGGGACAATCCATTGCTATTTAAATGGAACAGAATAATTAAAAAAAAAAAAAAACACCCAACATGATGAAGGCTGCTTTACCAGATGTTAGGAGAAAGATCATTTAATCCAGGTCTTTCAGGAAGGAAGGCTCAGTTGGTAAAGAATCTGCCTGAACATTAAAAAATAAAAAAAGAATCTGCCTGAAATCCAGGAAACCACCTGCAATGTAGGAGACCTGGGGAAGATCACCTGGAGAAGGAAATGGCAACCCCCTCCAGTATTCTTGCCTGGAGAATACCATGGACAGAGGAGCCTGGTGGGATACAGTCCCTGGGACTGCAAAGAGTCAGAGATGACATAGTGACTAAACCAACACCAGGAGAATGATCTAATCCAGGTCTTTCAGGAAGGATGGTTCAGGGTTTGCACATTAAAACTGGCAGCTCCCTCATGACCCATGAACCCAGCCTTTCTTTCCATTGAAACCATGGGCTCTGTTGAGGAAGAGAAGGGCCATAATTGGTCTAAGAAGGTAAACTCTTATCCCCATAAGTACACTTGTGTCAAGGCCCAGCTACCCTCTTTGATGCTTTGGGTTAGGCCCAAGCCTGGATCTGGACCCAGAGCAGTGAATAAGAAATGGTCCTCACCCTCATGTTCCACTGGGGGATGGATAGCCTTGGGTGGTAAGGACTGTACATAGGAAGGAGCCGAGAAGGCTGGGTGCCCAGAAGAGGCAGGCATGAATGGTCCTGGCCCAGACCCCCTGCCAACATCACCTGACGTATGGATTCTTCCATCGGCTCCAATATCATGTGCCATAGTGGGTTAGTCTCAGGGCCTGTGGGGGACAGTGATAGGAGATCTAAGCATTAGAAGACATTTCAAGACCCTCCCAGGAAACTGGTTCCTAATGTCCTGATTCTAGGCAGGGAGCCAGGAAGCCTGGCCTGATACCAAGATCTGAGGCACCTTCTGGGGCAAAACCTCAAGGCAACCTTAAGGAGGGCATGTAAAGCAGAATTTTCCTCCTCCCAGGGATCCAGCCAGGGACCATGTTCCCCCTAGAGGTTCCAAGTTCAGGCATGACTTTTGACCTCAAATAGCCCACAGGTCCCTGAAGTCTGGGTCACCTCCTTCCAGCAGCCCTCCCCAATCCCACTGACAAATTCATCTGCCTGGAAACAGGGGAGGGACCTGAGTCAAGTAGATCTGCCAGGATCCTAGCACCTCCCCAGTAAGAAGCACCTAGCCCGGCATGGCTCCACCCCTTCACTGAATCCTAAAACACTGAAAAGAGAGAAGGCTCAAGAGTCAAGGAACCTTCCAGCTCTCAGTTGGCAAGAACCTTTATCGAAAGCACAGGAGACTGTATAGTATCTCCAGCAGCTCCCCAGAGCAATGACGGTCTATGACAAAGCAGGGGCTATTTATCTGGCGTGTTAGGGAGTGCCAGCTACCTCAATGGGGTGTGACAATCTTATAACATGAATGAAAGCAGGATCCTCCTTTCAGAAGATCCCGTGAGGCTCAAATGAAGAAATTACAGCATCAGCATGCATATGACCTGTCCGGGCTCCCTGAGAAGAAAATACCAAGCCAAGCTCCTCCAGCAGGTTCATGACAGATCCTGGGTTTCTCAGGAAGGGGAGACTGAGGGACTTCCCCAGAACCCAATTCTCCTGCTGCTCACTCTGGACTGGACTGGCCAGCTCTAAGTGAAGGGAATCCATCACCTGGGGCCAGGAAGCTTGCCCTCTGCAGTCCTACTAAGGGAGCCCTATGATGGCAAAATTAGCTGCGGGCCCAGGTGGCACTAGTAGTAATGATCCCGCCTGCCCATGCAGGAGACCATAAGAAACATGGGTTCGATCCCTGGGTCAGGAAGATCCCCTGGAGGAGGGCATGGCAACCCACTCCAGTATTCTCGTCTGGAGAACCCCATGGACAGAGGAGCCTGGCGGGCTCTAGTCCATAGGGTCAGGCACAACCAAAGCAACTTAGCACACATAGGCACAGACAGGAGGCATATGGCATTTCTGGTCACTGAATCATTCCAACTTGGGCTACCCATACATGGAGGGTTAAGCTAAAAGCACCTCCCTCTGCTTCTTTAGTCCCTTGGAGATGCACCTCCATCCTCTTGGGAGCCACAGGCATTGAGCAGCACACCCTTAACTGTGGTAAACCTGGGGACTTCCCTGGTGGTCCAGGGGTTAAGTCTCCGTGCTTCCAATCGGGGGACACAGGTTCAATCCCTGGTCAGGGAACTAAGATACCACACCATTTGGTATAGCCAGAAAAAAAAAAGAAGTAGTCCTAGTTTCTGGTGCCCCCAAATATAGTGGACTCTAGACCTGCCTAAGGATTCACGAGGTAGGTAGTGACTTTTTGAAAAACTGAACCCCACATCCCAGCTTATCCCTTCCACTCTGCCCTAGTAATGTAGGACAATTGTAGGTGTCAACAAATGGTAAGTTATTGTTCTATATGTTTGTTACATGCACACACCATCTGCTTAGGTCACACATAAAACATTTCTGAGACACAAGTTAATTTGACTGAAGTGAATTTCAGAAGGCAGACTTAGAAGCACCTATAGCTTTGTATTCACCTGGAGGGGGGAAGTGCAAAGAATAAGATAGAACCTTCTAGGTTAGCACCTCCATGAACCCCTCTTCCCAACCCTGAGAAGAGTCTCCTTACTTAACCTCTCATACATTTCACCCCCATATCCTTTCTTTATTTCTCACTCTTTTTTTGAAATTTCTGAGCAGGCCACACCACTCAGCATATGAAATCTTAGTTCCCCAAGCAGGGATCGAACCCCTGCTTCCTATAGTGGAAGCAGATTCTTAACCACTGGTGTAGTCCCACCCATCTCCTTTCTGGCCTTAGAGGAACATGATCCTTCCTTGGTGAGGCCTCAGTCCCATCACTTCTGGGGTGCAGTTTATCTGTTTCCCTTGGAGAGAAAGTGTGGTTATGAGTTTAGATACACCTCTGTACAAATCCAGGCTTGGCCAGTGTCACCTCTTGAGTCCTCTGTGCCCAACTGAAGAATCCCTCCATCATGCTTCAGTCAACATACCTCCTCTCTTGGGATGCTTGCCCCAAGATGACATCAAAAAGGCCCCATCAACTTGCCTCCAAATTCATGGGTCTCTATTTCAATCAGGATCTAGGCTGGAAAGCAGAACCCACACAAGGAACTGCAAACAGAGGGAACTGAATACCAGGAACTGATTACACATATGTTAGAAGGCTGAAGAACAAAAAGGAGTTACCAAAGTTTTCTCAGTTCAGTTCAGTTGCTCAGTCATGTCCAACTCTTTGCGACCCCGTGGACTGCAGCGAGCCAGGCTTCCCTGTCCATCACCAACTCCTGCAGCTTGCTGTCTCAGACAGTCGAACTGCAGGAAGGAATCAGGAGGAAACAAAAGAATCCAGGAGTCAAAGGAGGAAGCTTGTAGGACTGATGCATAAATCTCAGGAGGGGTTCCTCTATCAAACTGATGCTCAGACCTCTGAAAAGAGAGTGTGGTCTTCTGGGTGCGTGAAACACAAAGATGGAGATGAAGGGTCAGCCCTGGAGATGCTCAGAGGGCCCAAAGGACACACCACAGAGAGCCACATTTCCATTGATTCAAAAGCCTTTGGGAGGACGTCCCTGGTGGTCCAGTGGTTAAGAATCCTTCTGCCAGTGCAAGGGACACAGGTTTGATCCCTGGTCCTAGAAGATCTCATATCTTCTGGATAATTAAGCCCAAGGGCCACAACTACTGAGCCCACATCCCCTACAGCCCACACTCCTCAACAAGAGAAGCTACTGCACTGTAACTAGAGAAAACCTGCATCCAGTAACCAATGCAACAAAAGTAAATATATGTTTTTTAAAAAGTCTTTGGGAGCAGGTTGGTGCCATCACATGCAAGAGACCTCATCACACTGTGTGACCTTAAGAGACACAGTGTTTTCTGCTCACTTCTTTGACTGGTTTTATTTGTCTGTCCGATAAATTTAAATTTGTCTGTCTGATAAATTTAAATCAAATAAAAAGACAAACTTTATTTGTCTGTCTGATCATCCCAGCCTGATAAACGGCAGGACTAATCTTTTTCTCTCAGTTTTGACTCTCAGATTTTGGCCATTTTCATAGGGTATGGGCCCGATGGGGGAAAACAAAGTTGACACTAAGATCAACTATTTATTAGAGTTTTGCTGCTTTTCACCCGAGTTGCTAATTATTTAATGAGACAGTACATGCAAAACTGGTGAATTCTGAATAAGGCTTTTATTCCAGCTCATAGAACTATATCAATGTCATTCCAGGGTTTTGACAATATATTGTGACTGTGTAAAATAAAGTAATACAACCTATATTTTTTAAAACTTTTGGAAAAAGAGGCAGAGGTAGAATTTCCTGGTGGTCCAGTGGTTAGGACACCATGCTCTCACTGCTGAGGGCACGGGTTCAACCCCTGGACTGAGAACTAAGACCCCACGAGACATGCAGCCATAAATAAATAAATTGATTAATTTTTTAAAAGCTTGGGTTTTTCATGTCCAAATAAAGACTGCAAAAGACTATGTATGATGATGCCATGTCTTCTTTAGCTTCAACCTTTTATTCCACTTGATCGTGACCTTTTCCTGGCTTCCCAACATTCAGAGAAGCCAGCATTCCCAGAACTATCACCATCAGCATCCATTCTGAGGTCCCCAGCTTATACTCGAGTGTGAATGCCTATCAGAGAAATGAGAAGAATAAGCGTGATGATGATAAGAAGGAAGAACTGAGCCATTGGGGTGAATAATTGAAGAGCAGAGAGCCCATCTGCTGAAGAAATGGACCAGAACTTTTGTCTTAGAGCAAAATGGATTATTCCATGATCTCTTAGCTATACTTGAGAAGGCCATCAATTTTAGTGCTGCTTATAGAAAGTAAAGATCGTGGTTCTGTTATATGAACAAAACCCAGTGTTCCAGATTCTTTCTATTAATATTTTATTGTCACCTAGAACAAGGAAAATTTTGCACACTGTTAAGTGTGGCTTGCACTGATTTCAAGTAAGCATTTATAAAGCCAACAATCCAAGACATGCAAATAATTTGAAGAGATCACTGAGTCTAGATACTAATTTCCAAGCTTTAAGATATCATTACCCACACTTGTTTGACACCAAGTTCTGCCAGTCTGCTCATTTAACCAAGTGGCCATGATCTTAACAAGTTGAGGGAACATCAGTGTAAACCAGCTAGAGTAAGAAAGTTTGACCATTCACCACTAGAATCTCTGGGTCTGTTCACAGATGCACAATCCCCATGATGACTTATTCATGTAACCAAGTCAACAGTGACGATGAATAACGCAGAAGGGACCATGAAGCAGTAAATGTTATCTGGCCCTCACAGTTGACAAACTGTTCTGGTTCAGTCACTCAGTCCTATCCGACTCTTTGTGATCCCGTGGACTGCAGCTCACCAGGGTTCCCTGTCCTTTTCTATCTCCTGGAGTTTGCTCGGACTCATGTCCATCGAGTCAGTGATGCCATCCAACCATCTCGTCCTCTGTTGTCCCCGTCTCCTCCTGTCTGCAATCTTTCCAGCATCAGTGTCTTTCCCAGTGAGTCAGTTCTTCACATCAGGTGGCCAAAGTATAGGAGCTTCAGCTTCAGCATCAGTCTTTCCAATGAAGGTTCAGGGTTGATTTCCTGGAAATCAATAGTTGACAATACACAGAATCCAATTAATAATAGAACTAGGCTTAATCTGGGCTTCCTGGGTGGCTCAGTGGTAAAGAGTCTGCCTGCAATGCAGGA